AAAAACCCCTGTGAGGTAACCACGATGATCCCATTTTAAAGATAAAGAAAACTGAGACTGATAGAGGTTAAATAACTTCAAGGTTAAATAACTTCCAGTGCAAAGCAGGACTCCCAGTCAGGTCGTCGGACTCTCGAGTCTTTTTCCTAAACCAGGGGTCCTCAAACTACGGCCCGCAGAAAACATTTATCCGGCCCGCCGGGTGTTTTTGCCGCCGCTGCCTGTCCTGCTTAGCAGCCGACTCGTCCCGGGCCCGCAGTGCGCATGTGTGGAATGTCTGAGGGACAGTGAACTGGCCCCCTGTTTAAAAAGTTTGAGGACCTCTGTCCTAAACGATAAATGTCCTATTAACTCGACAGTTTGATCTCTTTATCAATCTGCTGTGGGGTTTTTTGCCTCAAATTATTTAAAATTATAGTTTATTTTCAGGAATCGGGATCAAAATATGCCTCTTAAGTCTCAACCTACAGGTTCCTTTCCTTTTTCCTTTTTCCTTTCCCATTCAGTTTATCTGGGAGAAACCTGTTGTCGGTCCGGTGGTTCCCACAGCCTGGTTGCTGCTGGTTGCACCCCCTTGGTGCTGTTTAGCCTATTCTTCCGTCTTCTACATTTCTTGTAAAGTGGTTGTGAGATCTAGAAGGCTGCTCAGATTCTGATTTGTTTTTTTGTTTTTGGCAAAACTCCTTCGTAGTTGGTAAAATGTAGTTATGTCAGGAACCATGTAACAGCTGCTTTTCTCTCTGTATGTGATATTAGCAGCTATTGACAATCATGAACTAGATCCATTTTCATTAGGCAATGATCCAGTTCTATCATTCCTTCATTTCTTAGCTGGGATGGTTTGTAAAGGGAAACTCCCCCCATCAATGATTCATTACCCTGAAGTACACTATGTACAGGAAAGGTGGAATGAATGCTGCAGCTTTGTTTACCACTTTTCAAAACAGTGACTTGATCATCCAGCTTTCTCCAAAGGATTTGTATGAATATTATGAACTAGTGAATTTAGACATCTTCGAGGTGTTTTGGTCTACTGCAGTTATTAGTTTTCCTGGTGCTCAGATCGTCCCGCCTCCAGGTGGCCCCACCTTTGGTACAACCCCAGGTGTCTTTTTTTATTTTATTGATTTCAGAGAGGAAGGAAGAAGGAGAGAGAGATAGAAACATCCATGATAAGAGAGAATCATGGATCAGCTGTCTCTTGCAAGTCCCGCACTGGGGATTGAGCCCACAACCTGGGTATGTGCCCTTGACCGGAATCGAACCTGGGACCTTTCAGTTTGAAGGCTGACGCTCCATCCACTGAGCCAAACCAGCTAGGGCAAACCCAGGTGTCTTGAAGAGCTCCCTTGCTTCCTGGCTCACATTGGACATTTCCTGCCCTGCACTTGGAACCAGCCATTTCTCTAGGAATTCCTGATCACTTTCTGCAAAACATCTTATTTAGAGATCTTGACCTGGGTGCTGTGGAGGCTCATTGGTTCTGGATTGACTCTTATGTGTAGGTTTTTCTCTTTCCCAGTGGAAAGAACTAGGAAATAAATATATTTTAAACCATAATTTTCCTAATGGTTAAAGACAGCTGGCAGGTTTTGTTTGGAGAAGATAACATGGAAACTCCACTGAGCAGAAGCATCTGATCAAGTCTCTTTTCTTTCCCACGACTTAGTAATGACCTTGACTCATTGCTGTCTCTTGGAAATAAAGAATCATCTGTCTACTGCCAAAGTTGATTAAAGTGCAAAGCCTGGTTCATTAAGATATTCAAGTATATGCCAGGCTTACATTCACTTGCATTTGAGTGCGATACTGGAATTGGAATTTTTCAAGGACGCGACAGTGTCTGTGTGTGTTCCAGGCATCATGCGCTTATTTATACACACTGGCCTTGGTGCCGCTGAGCTGGCCTGGACCTCAGAAAGGGGCCTGGAGGGAATGGAGATTTCTCCAGGTTCACCATGCTTGGGCCCAGGAATGGGGATAAGAAATGTGTCCCTCCCCTCCCCCTGTTTCTGGCTGCCACTTAGTTAAGGCTGTTTCTTTTTTCCATGGAACTCTGTTCTAGTTAGTTCAGGCTTTTATAGCAGAATTCCACAGACTGAGTGGCTTAAACAACAAAAATTTACATCTTCTAGTTCTGGACGCTGGAAGTCTGGGATCAGGGTGCCAGTATGGCTGGGTTCTTGGTGAGGGTCCTCTTCCTGGTTTCAAGATAGCAGCATTCTTGTTGTGCCCTCACATGGCTGAGAGCAGAGAGAGGAAGCAAGCTCTCTGTTGTCTTTCTTACTGAGGGCACCAATCCCATTCTTGAGGGCTCCACCCTCATGACCTAATCACCTTCCGAAGGCCCCACCTCCTAATACCATCATCGAGGGTTAAGAGTTCAATATAGGAATTTTGAGGGGACACAAACATCAGTCCATAACAAACTCCGAGAAGTATTCAGGACTATTCGGTACAAGGGCTGTTTGGACAATCCGGATGAGATGTGTCCCACAGGGTAGAAGGGCTGTTTTAAGTAATGTTGTTGTACTGTGTTGTGTTTTTGTGCAGTTGATTCTCACTGTTTGGTGCAATTATGTTCTATACAATCACCACAAACACTGAACTAGCAAATACTGAACTGCTGTTCCCAGGAGAAATGCAGGTTCCCGTGAGCCTCTGGTCACAGCGTTTTTGTCAACTGATCAACATATAACCTTGTTTTATGTGTGTTTGTGTTTAAGGACAATTTATGTAATAAATACTTTGACTCATTAACATTAGACTCACAACCAAGAGCGCTATAACTCATGCCTGAACCAAGTTTTTCTAACACACATTTTCTCCATAAGACACATCGCAGCCTCCTCGGGCTCAGAAGCACTAGACAGTGCCTAAGCACTGCATTTGGAGGCCATTTTAAACAGTGAAATCACCAACAAAAAACACAAAAATGCTAAAAAATAGGACTCTAAAAAGACCATAAAAGAACACGTTTCCACAATGAGAGCTGAAACATTAAGGCAGAAGGTGTTACCTTATTCACCCTCACCTGGCAGGTCCCCAGGGGCTGAAATTTCCCCCCACTCTGCGAAAGTGCCAGGAGTACTGATTGGGGGGCTACGGTGACATTTTAGCCAGAAGGTGAAACTGCAGACCTGAATCAGTGGCTAATGAGGATCAACTGTGTGTGAGCAGTCACCTCTCTCGAACAAAGACTGGACAGGCCCAGGAGAGTGGGGTAACAGGAGGGCACTCTGCTGTGAGGTGTGAGGAAAGACAAAGGTATTATTGTGGGAGAGACGAATTTCCAAGTATGTCTTCACATCCCACCTTTCTACTCGTCCACTTAGCTAATCACACAGTGACCCCAGTCTCCGGGCTCTGAATAACTGTGGCCCTGCAGGATCTCAGGAGGAACCCCTGATCTCCAGGAACCCCATTCTTTTAGGTCCTATCTGGCATTGGTGTTAAGGCTATTTATCACATTTGAATTTACTAAAAATCGGGAGATTATGAAGTCTATTTTTCATTAGTAATCAGTGATCATAAACTTCCAGCCCTTAGTCTTCCTACTAACATGAAAATTGACTTTTAAAAAGCCCTTCAACTCTTAATTATTGAGAGTGAAACCCCCCTGGGATGTTTCAGTGCCAGCACAGGAAGCTGAGGGGACTCCAGTGCTCCTGAGAGCCAGTGACCTGAATGCGTCAATGTCTGGGAGGAGGCCGGGCACTGCATTGGGGGAATTGGGTGGGGTTGGGGGTGGAAGATGGGGGTTGGCATGGAGTGCACCCCCACCCATGCATCCTCGAACTGCCTCGCTGCCCTGTCTCTTTCGCTCGCAGGCAAGGCCCTGGTGCCGGTGGAGCCCGGCAACCGGACAGCCCCTCGGCGCTGCGCCTGCACGGCCGGCTACCACTGGAGCGAGGACTGTGACTGCTGCCGCCGCAACACCGAGTGCGCGCCCGGCTCAGGCGCCCGGCACCCGGGTATGGGGTTGCTTCCCGCGTCATCCTCTCTCACCGAGTCCTGCAGTCACCTGGAGGCCAAAGCCGGTGCTAAGACGGCTTCCCTGCGTCATTCACGCTCCGGGGAGCCAGGTGGCGCTGGAGGAGCTTGAGGGTCCCCTGAGAACGGAGCCCCAGGTTTGGTTCTAACAAGGACACGTGAGCGCCTGGCCCACATGCTGGTCTCCAGGCTCCTCCACCTGCGGAGCTTTATGCTCCCCACTTAGGACAGAACCCGAAAATGCAGGGGACCTCCAGATGCTTCAAAAAAACACAAATTTGAGCATCCGCTTAGCAGAATTTTGAAAAAATCATGCACCCCCTAGCTTATTTTTAACTTGACAGCTCAAAATTTTTATTACGAATTTAAAGAGTTGCTAAGTATTTAGTTTCCAGGGAAAGATAGCAATAGTAACACTTCCTAAATTTTTCAATGGAGTATCAACACCGTAATCTATTTTAAAATGCGCTCATTGCCTCACCTGTGGGAAAGATAGAGTTCTTCCCCCTCCTTTGATTTGTATTCATTTCGCCTTCCCTGCAGAATTCTATCCTGATGTATTTTTGTGCTTGGAGGGTTTTTGCTAATCACCTTTCATACTCTTTCATATCCAAAATTATGCACCTATTTGAAATCTTAAGTTTTAAAAAATTTCTTGTGACTCCAGGTTCTAGGGGTTAAAAACACTTCTTCTGGACCAAATTGTTACTGCAGGTATTATACAATAGGTCAAGGGTGAATATATTATATTTTGCTATATTAAAGTCTTTACAAACTAAAGAACAAATGGAGTTTTTTTTCCAATTAGTTCATATCTTCCGGGTTGAATACAACTTATTGCTAAAATGCAACAGAATTCAAGCTCAATCCTGTTTCCACTAAGTGCTGAGAAACGTGTTCGCATAAATAGCTAAACAGCTAAGAAAGGACTCCCGTGACAGGAGTTCCTCAATTCTATCAGCACTTTCTGAGTGACATGTCCCAGATCACACAGTGATGTGACATCAGTGTGGTGTTTAACGATTGCTCAGTTAAGAACTCAACTGTGTCCTTCAGTTTTGTTGAAAGTAAATAAGTAGAAATAATCTTTTTGACTCAGAAAAGTGTTTCTTAGCGTCACTTACATCCTGACTTCTAGGAAGTATACCAAAGCAGTTTCTTTAAGACATAACAACTTACTAGTATTTATACCTGTTAATCTTTCCCTTGGAGGCATTTTTTTTTAAATCCAGAATACTTGCACAGGGTTAAGAGAATTAAAATATTATTCATTTCAGTTTATAATGAGGAAAGTGTTCGTCAGAGAATCTAACTGGTACAGTCAATCCTGAGTATCTAATGTATCAAGTAAACCAGACAAACTTTCTCTTAAAAAAGTCTGACTTGCTTTTTTTAAAAATAAATTTTTTATTTTTCAATTACAGTTGACATACGATATTACATTAGTTTCAGGTGTACAACAGTGACCTGCCATTTATATAACTTACAAAGTGATCATCCCAAGTTGACTTGATTTTCCAATTTTTAAAATGAGTCTCCCTGTGACAGCCGGCTCCCTTCTGAATTCTGATTCTCAGATAGACAAGGCCGAGAGCCTTTCTGCAAGTTTGTCACCTGCATGAAAAAAGGTGCTGTCCCCTTCTCTGCTTCATTCCTGACCGATGTTCTCTCCGCCTTGCTCCTGTGGGAATGGGTCCTTCTTTGGCAATAGTTGGAGGACACAGGGGATGACATGAGTGAATGAAAATTTCCCTCCTGCCCTAACTTGCACTGTACAGTTGACCCTTGAACAACACAGGTCTGAACTGCATAGGTCCGCTTATATGTAGATTTTAAAAACTTACAGTATTGATAAATACAGTACAGTGTTTATGATTTTTATTTTCTTCAGAACATTTTATTTTCTCTAGCTTATTATAAGAATACAGTATATAATATATATAACCTACAAAATACATGTAAATTGTTTATGTTATCAGTAAAGCTTCTAGTCAACAGTAGGCTGTTCATAGCTAAGTTTTGGCAGAGTCAAAAGTTATATGTAGATTTTTGACTGCACAGCGGGGGTCAAAACCCCTAAATTCCACATTGTTCAAGGGTCCATGGTATTTGAATTGAGAACAAGCCCACCTGGTCCCAGTTACCCTGTTTCTATGGTCGCACTTTTGTCCTTAGATAGGGAGAGACAGTACTGAGAGACTCTGAATGCAGGGGCTCCGCCATCACCAGTTTTTCTACTTGGTGTTCCGTTTGGCATCTCAGAGGTTTGGCACCATCCCAGGATTTGGAGTGGGGAAGAGTGTGCCTTCTTTTGTACAGTGGGAGCAGTGTGATTAGGGAAAGGAACGGGACAGGGAACCTGCAGGATGCCCCCTGGCAGGTCAGTTACAAGGAACAGATCTGGAAGCCCAGTCAGTGGAGGGAAACCAATGAACTTTGAGCTCTGCTGCCTTGTAGCCCCTTAAGAAGTCTCTTTGTTTTTAAGGGTTGCTCTTCTAGAGCATGTTTATCTTTTGAAAAGCTGTTTGAATTTATGTGAGTTGACTAGATGTTAACTGTGCTTTTGTTAATATCATTTTAAGGCAAATCAAATAGATTAAGTGGGGGAGGTATCCTACTTATTGAGGCAGTTGCAGAAATCAAGAAGATACTTCCCACTTGACCCTGGAAAAAGAACATGTAATTTCTTATTTTAGTGTTTTATTCATGAAAGTAATCACAGAAGTGCTACTAATTTCAAGAGTAATTTGTGGTTTTGGTGCAAGTCAGTTGCGTGATCATGATACCTCACATAGTAGTCAATGTTCTTTATTGGAATTCCCAAAAGTCTACACATGTCAGCAGCTAATAGACTTAGGAAATCTGAGACATTTCCTATTTTAATAATATGGTTTGCAAGGAATATGAGGGTGCTGAAGAAAGTTTGCTAAGCAGGATCAATTCCTGCTTTCAGTGCTGTGGCTTAAGGCAGGGGTCCAAAATCCATCCTACCACTTGTGTTTGTGTAAATAGTCTTATTGGAACACAGCCACATCCCACATCCCTTTTTTTTTTTAACATATTGCCTATGACTGCTTTCATGCTACAAGTATTTGCAGCAGAGACTAGAAGGCCTGCAAAAGATATTTACCATAAGGTCTTTTATAGAAAAAGTTTGCTACCAGCCCTTGGTTTAATAGAAAGAGACCTGTAGGAGTTTTTTGTTTTGTTTTTTTAAGAAAACTGTTGTCACTCACATGCTTGAACTGGTGAGATTAAGCTGGCCAGAGAGGTCAGGTCAAGAAGTTGTCCTTAAAAGCAGTAAGAGGACTGCCACTCTCTGTGGATCAAGGTTAATGTAAGTCCAAAAGGCTGAAAGGGGAGATCAGGCAGGTGCGTGGTTAAAGCAAGTAGACAGCAGGCTCCCCGGCTAGGAAACAGAGTATTAGTGACCAGGACAGTGGTTCTGAACAGCTAAGGGTCAGGACCTAACTCAGATACTGGCATTAGTAGCCTGAGACTGAGCCAATTACCCTCCTGAACATAATAACCCTGAACCTACTGCTGGGATGGAAGGCCCTCTAGAGCCTGTGGGGGCTGAAGCAATGAGCCACAGGCAGCGAGGGCAGGGAGTGGGGGGAGGTGAGAGGCAGAGGGACCACCATCCTGGCCGATATCTAAGTGTCCTTGTTTGGCTTTTGTTTGTTCTGTTTGTCCTTTTGTTTTTTTGACAGTGCAGCTCAACAAAGACACGGTGTGTGAGCCCTGCCTTGTAGGCTATTTCTCCGATGCCTTTTCTTCCACAGAAAAATGCAAACCCTGGACCAAGTAAGTGACAACGAAGGAGCCCAGGCAGTGTGTTGATTTTAAGTAACTCAACCTCCACGTTTGGGTTGGACACAGACTGTTTGAGTTTTGTGAGGCTTCCCCTTGAAGCCACATTCAAAATGGGAAAAGCCTGTCAGTTCAGTGTGGGCAAAATAAACCCGTCCAACCAGCCTTCAACCTGGTGTGACTTACATGCCTTACTTTCTAGATTCAGTTTGGCTCAATCTTTGACTTAGAGTTTCAGCCTCCTTTTTCTCTTTTCTAACCTTACGTAGTTGAAAATGATTGATGACACTTGTTATCATTCACTCATGCCCGTCACTGCCCCACCCCCACACACACACTTCTCCTAACACCACTGCTTTGTTGTCCAGAGATGTGTGTATGTGCATAAAGAAGACTCCTGTTTACATAAATGTTCGCATACTGTAAACACCATGGTTTTTTTCACATAATATATCTTGAAGGAAGCTCATTCCATATTAGTTCACTTAGATCTTCATGGCTTTTTATAGATACCTAATATTTCATTGTAGAGATGTGCCGTAATTGAGTTAATAAGTTTCCTAGTGATAGTCATTTAGGTTGTTTCCAGTCTTGTGCAGTAATTAATCATTTTAAATGAATCACCTCATATGTACTATTTCACACTTATGTTAGTGTATCTCTAGTGGAACCTGGGTCCTTTCATTACATAATGATTCTTTCAGTTCCCAATACATGAATTCTCATTAAATATTTATTTCCTAATCCACTTTTCCAAGTTTTATGTTGACAAGGTTTTCTGTGTTTTCAACTTCTAAAGAGCATTCATCAAAAAAGTGTATCAGTGCCCAGCCAGTGTGGCTCAGAGGTTGAGCATCAATCCATGTACCAAGAGGTTACTGGTTTGATTCCTGGTCAGGCATATGCCCAGTTTTTAGGCTCGATCCTCAGAAGGGAGTATGCAGGAGGCAGCCAATTGATGTTTCTCTCTCATCGACATTTCTCTCTCTCTCTCCCTCTCCCTTCCTCTCTCTCTAAAATCAATAAGGACATTTTTTTAAGTTTATCCCCTGGCAATTGAAGCATTTGGAATCTTCTATACTGAAGACACCAATCTACTGTCTTTTGGGCCATACTCTTAGAAAACACTGGCAGTATTTACTTTTGTTCATTCATTTGTCCACTTGGATGATGTGTGGACAGGCACTGGGGATCCAAATGTCCAGAAAGATGGGCTCCTCTCCTGAAGGAGCTAGCAGTCTAGTGGATTAGAACCTTTGTTTCTTTTCTTGAAAAATAAGAATATAAAATGGAAGCACTTAACTCCCACAGCTGTACCAGTCTTGGACAGATGGAAGTACGTCACGGGACCAATAAGTCAGACGTGGTCTGTAGTTATTCTCTGCTGTCTACAGAACTACCCAATGGTATGTTTATTTTTTTACTTTTTATTAAATTTATTGGGGTGACACTGGCTAACAAAATTATTCAGGTTTCAGGTGCACGATTCCACAACACATCATCTGTACAATGTATTATTGTGTGTTCACTATCCCAAGTCAAGTATCCTTCCATCACCATTTATCCCCCTATACCCTCTTCTATCCCCCTTCCTCTATGCTATGCTTAAAAACAGCAGGTTGCTTGGTAGATGTGTCTCGGTCTAGTCAGCTCTTATAGATTCCCCCAGGTTACCTTCCATATCCGGAGGGCTCATCTCTCCCTTTCTATCTCATCCCATCCACAGTTAGGTTAATATTTCATTTTTGTCAGTATTTTGATTTTAGATATGTTGTTTATGTGATAATATTTTACTCTGGAATGGAGAACTAATAATGTATTTATATGTATAAAAACAAGAAAAGAAAAGAAAACTGATCTGCAAACATAAATTAAAATGCCCAAATATAGTAGGCTGGTGGTGGTCACAGTACGAGTGTCTATGGGAGATTTTGGTCACCAACCAGAGTTAGTAACTTGTTAGACTATAGCTATCATTTGTAGATCAAATTAATCTTGAGTATGGTGTCAAAGAGTGATAGAAAGTGACAGTTAATAGTGGCTGCTGGTTTTGCAGGTGAGTGAGACGGTTGGAGGTGGGTCCAGATATCACAGCACATGGGATGGCATACGTGTAAAGAAGACCTTTCTAATGAAGCAAGAGGACCTGAGCCACAGAAGAACAGGGTTAATGAACTTTGACTAAGAAAATTGAGGGTTTAGATTTGACATTTGGGGAGACAGAAGATGGTGATTGAAGATGCCAGTGTTAAGGTTCTGGATATGGAGCTACACAGTCAGAGCAGCATTTTTAAAAGACCATTTTTTTGAAGATAATACGAAAAATAACCAAAGGAATAAAAACGGCAACCCTGGTGCCTGTGGTTATTTAAAAAGAGGTATGATAAGGGGCTTCCTTTTGCCTCAGAGGCCAGTCCCCTGGGGAGACTGAAGTGTCCATAGGTGAGCAAAGATGGAGCTGGATGGCCTGGTAAACAGGATTTGAGTTATTCTAAGTAGAAACATTTCAAGATGGTCCTGGACTGACCTCACTGGAGTGATGCTGGACAGTGGGACTGGGCCATGCTGGTGACTCCACCCTTTGGAACATGAGTGTTCTGTGACAAACCTGCAGTCAGGGTTGGGGCCTTCACACTTCTCTTATTCCAGATCAGCAGCCTTGATTCTGGGGCTTGATGTAAAGGGTTTTGTTTTTGAGCTTAGAGACAAAAATGAAATCACCTTTAATACCATTTTTAAACCTTTTCCTGATACAGAGCCCCAGATTTTCTTGCCCAGTCTGATCATCCTGCTTCTCTTCGTATCTGTGGCATTAGTCGCTGTTGTCATTTCTGCTGTTTACTACCGGAAACAAGGGAAAGCACTAACAGGTATGATGTCTATGGGGGATTTTGAAAATGAATCTTAAAAATAGATACATTTCAAGGTATATGCCTTGGAAGATGTGTATGTTGCCTGTTGACTACATCCAGTGATCTGCTAAAAATAAGTGCCTTGAGGTGGTTGGGCTTAAACTAAGATCAAACACCCTTTATGCCCAATTCATTGTTCTCTGGCAAAACAAATAAAATCCATTGTGCTTATTTATGTAGAAGTAAATACAAATACTCTAGGAGAAAGATTGTCATAGTAGTTATGATTATTATCTCTGTGCACAAATATTTTGGCACCATTTGTAATTGTCTAGTTAGTACTAATCTCTACAAGGAAAGAGCTACAATTTTCCTTTTATTTGGAGTACCTTTATTTTTATGTAATTTTATAATAATGAAATAATAACAATGATGATAGCAATAACTGACATGTATTGAATATTTATTCAGTAAATGCATACACTGCTGTATGCATTTTACTAGTACATGTACTAACTAAATCTCCCCCACAGCACTATGAAGTAGGCACTGTTATTTCCCTGGTTTCATGATGAGGAAACTGAGGCTCAGAGAAGTTAAGTAAACTGGGCAAGGCCACATCATAGGTGCCATTAGCTATGATTATTACTTGATTATCTTCTTATGGAGAATTGACAACCCATGAATTCAACATTAGAATTCAGTGGAGGTGGAATAAAAGTTTATCTTTGTATGATGTAATTTCATAATTTTTTTAAAAATTCATGGATTTGACTTTTTAAATGTTATCATGTCTATTTGAAAAAGTTGATGGGGATATAATTTGTATATACCACAGAACATATCCTTTTTTCCTGAGAAGCAAGAGTATAGTGGAAAAAGATTTGGGGCCTGCTGGAACTCAGTGGGGTCTGCCGCAGCCTTCCAACATGCACCTGACTTTTATTGTACGTATATTTGAGCTGGTTCACTGGAAAGTCACGTCTCCACCATGTTGTCTCCTTTCCCCTACAATGCCCACCTAGGCCCTTGTAGTCAAAGATTAATTGCTAAGGGTCTGAGAGTGACTATCTTCCTATCAGCAGTTCTGATACCCTCAAATGTGCCCCAAGGTATTCAATGGAACATTAGTATATCATATTTGGCTTTGCATGGATCAGAAAGTTTTGTTTTGATGGAGCAGGATGGGTAAGATGTCTTTATAGTGTTTAAATAGGTTGATTTTCTTTTGAATGTTTTCACTTTCAAGAAGTCCCTCTGAAAAACTTACAGAGGGTTATGTATAAAGATAATACTGAACTGACATAGTGGTCAGTGATATTGAATTAGAAATAGGAAGTACTATGAAGATCTTATCTTTGCTTTGTTTTTCTAGCTAATTTGTGGCGCTGGGTCAACGAGACATGCGGCCGCCTAAGTGGAAATAAGGTAAATTTAAAAGTCTTAAATGCTCCTTGTAGTACTTTGAACAATTATGCTGAGATACTTCTTAGTCAAATATTGAGCCCCATTGTGTTAAGAGGAACTTTCTTGAGGGGATGGGACCCCAAATCCCAGGGCTGATCCCCACAGAATAACCCAAAGCCCAGGTCAGTACTCTTCCTAAATGCTGCTTTCTTTGTATTGCATTCCATTTCTGTCACCTCTGTGTACAGATATTAATTATATTCTTTTTAGTGCCAATCATAATTGCCTATTACAGATTCCAGAAGGAACGAGTTTCCATTTTCTTTTACTTTGTAGTTAGTTATTTTGATAACTATTAATTTTGATATCATTTCAAAATTATAGAGAAGTGGTAAGAATAGTACAAAGAACTTCCACATACCCTATTCTCAGGTCTACCAGTTGTCTAAACATATTGCTATATTATTTGTGCTCTCTTTTTAAAAAAAATATTTTTTATTGATTTCAGAGAGGAAGGGAGAAGGAGAGAGAGATAGAAACATCAATGATGAGAGAGAATCATTGATCGGCTGCCTCCTGCATGCTCCACATTGGGGATTGAGCCTGCAACTGGGGCACATTCCCTCCTGATTCATACGTCAACACTCAACCACTGAGTCATACTGGCCGGGCTGTGCTCTCTATGTGTGTATCTGTATATATTTTTTTCTTGAACCATTTTAGAGTGAATTGTGCTCCAGTATCCTTAAATACATCATTGTGAATTTCTTGAGAACAAGGACATTCTTTTATGTAACCAGAGTTCATTTATCAAAATCAAGAATTTCAATAGTGGTACAATACTATTATCAAACCCACATTTGATATTAAAATTTCACTAGTTATCTCACTATGTCCTTTAGATCTATTTTCTTTTTTTTTTCTTTTTTTTTTTAAATATATTTTATTGATTTTTTTACAGAGAGGAAGGGAGAGAGATAGATAGTTAGAAACATCGATGGGAGAGAAACATCGATCAGCCGCCTCCTGCACATCTCCCACGGGGGAGGTGCCCGAAACCCAGGTACATGCCCTTGACCGGAATCGAACCTGGGACCCCTCAGTCCGCAGGCCGACGCTCTATCCACTGAGCCAAACCGGTTTTGGCAGATCTATTTTCTTAGGTATAAAAATGTATACATTTTAAACCACGACGAGCTCATACTGATTTCTCCAGTTCCTGTCCCAGCAGCACTTTTTGATCTTTCCTTGTTCCATTGAATCATGTTTTCTCCAACAGCAGAAAACCTGCCTCCTATTATTCTCAATTCCAGGATACATAGAAAGTACTTTCAATTACTAAACTCTACCACAACAAAAAACAAAGCGACTAACTTTGAGTTTAGTATTTCCTTAGAGGGTGTGTGTGTGTGTGTGTGTGTGTGTGTGTGTGTGTGTGTGTGTGTGTGTGTTTTAATTTAGATTGAAAGTCTGTAGTCAAAATTCCGTGTTGTGGAGTTATTTGGGTTGACTCCTGCCCTTGTTTCAACATGAACATGCTATTCATGTGAAATGCAGTTAGATTTCACTTGTTGCTGGTTGCATTCTATGTTAGGGCTCTTCCCCACTCTGTAATTTTAAATAACACGAGTTGCTACAGAGTGAGTGTTCCACCTGTTCTTGTTATGGTGGAAATAAACCCCATTTTCGGCAGTGTTTAGCAGAACCCTGTTCTAATAGCTGAGTATCAATCCTTCTGCCTCCCGAATGTCACTCAGCAGGAACCCTCAGGAAGCAATTTTAGCCGCACTCCCATGGAAGCCTCGAGCCAGCGGGAACTTTGCGACGGGGTCCTACTGCTGACCCTGGAAGAGAAGATGTTTTCGGAAGACCTGTGCTGGCCGGAAGGAGCGGGGGTCTGCGGGGGCGCGTGTGCAGGCTGCGCCCAGGCAGAAGACACCAGGATGCTCACCTTGGTCAGTGAGATGGAGGGCGACTCTTTCAAGCAGATTCCCATGGAAGACGAGTACGTGGACCGGCCGCCCCAGACCCCACACTCCTTACTGGGCCTCACTGGGCCGGGAAGCAGATCCATACCCCCTTTCCCGGAGCCCCTGGAGGTGGGGGAGGATGACAGTTTAAGCCAGGCCTTCACCGGAACAGAGAGCCTGCCCGATTCCGAAAGCTGCAATTTGGCCAAGCCCCCGTGCAGGACCGATTGGATTCCCATGTCCTCCGAAAAGTACTTGCAAAAAGAAGTGGAGGGCGGCAACTGTCCCCACTGGGCGGCCTCCACCTCGGCAGATGGCTGCGCAGGCTGCGGGAACCCTTCTGGGGAGGACCGGGAGCCCTTTCTGGGTTCCCCCAAAAGTGGACCCTTGCCCCAATGCGCCTACGGCATGGGCCTTCCGCCTGAAGAAGCAGCTGAAGAGGCGGAGGGCGGAGGCCAGCCCTGGGATGAGGCTGATGCACAGCCTCCCAGCTCCAGCAGGGGAGGCCCTGGGTCTGGAAGCCCCTCCAGTGAGCAGCCGCCTGCATCTGGTAAGTGGCTCTCTTGATCTCTCCTTTCTGAGCAAAAAGGCCTGTTCATGGTACAGGGCTTGGGGGTGAGTGTCACCGGTCATTCAGGGAGAAGCAAAGCCGACATGGGAAACATTCAGCTCTCCCATTTTCTTTGTGAGGACTATTTACAGGACGTGTTGTGTCTCAGGCCTGGGGCTGGGTTTGTGAACTGTGCCACTGTCCTGTCTCTTCATTTCTACATGTCCCTTTTGTGCTCGGGCCTCTCATGATGGGATTAGGCCTCAAAGTCCAGCATTGACCCCCCGAAGTCAACATTGACCTCAGGCCTGGCTGACAGCTAAGCATTCCCTCAGATTTCTAGTTTTGTTGTTGTTTCAAAGCAATCTAGGTCTCAAATCACCTCCCATAGAAGCTCTTATAAATTTCAGGAGAATAAACAAAATTGTGTAGTTAATCCTTATTAATTAATATTTATTGAGAGTAGCCTGTTGGTTCTATACCAGGTTAACAAAGCAGTAAAGTGTTCCTTAATGCTTTCTGTGAGAAATCCCTTCTGTAACCACCACATATATTGATGGCACCTGGAGAATAATTTTACAATTAAAAATCATTATAGAGATTTATTATGTACATTTACTGCACCACTGTTTGAGCGTGAATAAACCCACCAATTAAAAGTTTTGTGTTTTTTTTTTCTGGAGGGGAAAACACCTTCTGTCTTATTATGTAGTTACAAGAAATCATGCTGCATGGTGAGGGCTCCCTCTCACTCAACATGTGTGTGGGGGTGAGAGTAGGGAGTGTCAGGATCTCGTTGAGAATCTTCTGGAAGCTACAGACACTCTCCAGAAAAATGAATATATGGATATATACTATTTAAGGGGTTGCACAGAATCCTCTGACCCTCTCCCCCTCAAGCCCCCCCCCAAAAGCCCGTCCATGGACTACCTTGACCCTGGGCTGTTTTTTCTTTTTCTTTACGACCCCTTTATTTACTACAAGTGGTGCTAGTAGCCGGTCTTTGAATTATTTCATAACCCTGGATAGTTCAATCCCTGCCCTAAACACAGAGATGTCGCTGATGGTGCCCCCTGGCTTATGTGGGAGAAGAGTGTACTTGAATCTGCTTTCTAAGTTTTGTGGTTTTGCTACAACCACTGATGTGTAAACTCTATAATATCAATTTTCAGTCAGACCCAGAGGAGGGCTATTTTTCAAAGAACTGATGTGTTTTTCCTTCAGAACACCTCCACAGTTTTTAAAGATGTTAAGGACTTCCCATTACTAAAAGTTCAGCTCTATTGTTCTGTTTTTGTTGTTGTTTTTTGTTAATCCTCACCCGGGGATACTTTTCCATTGATGTGTTGAGAGAATGGAAGGAAGGGGTAGAGACAGAGAGAGGGAAACCACAATGTGAGAGAGACACATTGATTGGTTGTCTCCTCTACGCTCCGACTGGGGCTGGGGAATTGAGCATGCAATCGAAGTATGTGCCCTTGACCAGAGTCAAATTTAGGACCCTTCAGTCCACTGAGCCAAACAGGCTAGGGCTATTCTGTTTCTTTTTAGTAGTGACTTTTCTTCCCATTGAACACTAGTGTGAGGGGCTGAGGAGAATGGGGAGGCAGAAGCTCAGCATAGCAGAGGCCATGGCTTAGTAACACTGCCAGGGGCAGACCGGTTTTTCAATTGGTGACACCAGGAAGGTGATGTTGGCCACAGTGTCAAAATCATCGACAGTTCCTGGAAGAACAGTGCTGGCCATGTTTAAGGTGATATTTTTTTCTCAATGTCATGAAACCCAGAGCCAGATCTGTGTTCTCCCTTGACATAAAGTTAAAACGGTGCCCTTGTCTCATTTTCCTTATCTTTTATTTCTCCAGCTTTAAACATATAGGCTTGGAGGAAAGGGAAAGAAAAAGTGTGTCATCAACTAAGTTGTGTTAATTTCCAAAGAGCTTATGTTGCTTTTTCTGTCCTGTCTGGTGCTTAGTCGTGCAACACATCCGTAGAGATGCTGCCTGCGGATGCCAGCAAGCGGGCCAAGTTCATTTTTGCCTGAGCAGCAGCAGCAGCCAGATTGATTTTTGAGGCTGTTCCTTCCATAATTACTTCTACATGAACAGGCCTTCTGGTTTCTGGTCAAAATAGCACGTTCTCATTATTGCCTTTTTTTAATTGTCATGATTTGTGTTCTACAAAATGTGAGAAAGAGGATGAGCTTGGGTGAAAGATAAGAGGCGGTGGCTAATCCTATTTGAGCTTCTAAAAGCCACTGCTCTCAGGACTTAAAGTGGCGTTTTTATTGGGTGTTGGATTTTTATGTGTGGGTGTTTTAAAAACATACAACCAGTTGAAGTGGTTTCTAGAGAAAGGACAATGACTAGTTACTTCCTCAGTAGGAAAGAGTATCTCCTTCGCACCCAGGATCCTTTTGAGGAGAATCATGGTTCTTCAAAGAGCTCTACCAGTCTATTTTTTAAAAGTAATACTCAATGTCAAGGCTATTTTAGCAATGTTATAACTCTTATTAAAGACCAGTGAGAATTATTAGCCACGACCAATGAAGGGGGAAAACATAGTTTGGGTTATCTATACTAATAAAAGCGTAATATGCTAATTAGACTGGGCAGCCTAATGGCCTTCCAGATGAAGTTACAGCTGCGGGGGCTGAGGCAGAGGCAGTTAGGGGTGATCAGGCAGGCAGGTGAGCAGTTAGGGCCAATGAGGCAGGCAGGCAGAGTGGTTAGGGGTGATCAGGCAGGTGAGCAGTTGGGGGCGATCAGGCAGGCAGGCGAGTGGTTAGGGGCAATCAGGCAGGCAGGCAAGGGGTTAGGGGCGATCAGGCAGGCAGGTGAGTGGTTAGGGATGATGAGGCAGGCAGGCAGAGTGGTTAGGGGTGATCAGGCAGGCAAGTGAGTGGGTTGGAACCAGCAGTCCCGGATTGCGAGAGGGATGTCCGACTGCCTGCGGGATCGGGCCTAAACCAGCAGTCAGATATCCCCCGAAGGGGCCTGGATTGCGAGAGGGTGCAGGCCAGACTGAGGGACACCCCCCTCCCCCAATGCACTGATTTCATGCACTGGGCCTCTAGTGTCGTATATAATCATGTCTTAAATTTACATTTTACATTATTATCCTTTTGACATGATGTTGGTTACCTTGGTTATAAGCCCTTTTGCCTGGAGTTTGGATAATTCTCCCTATATCTAGAAAAGTAGTTCATGTCAAAGAAAAAAACAACTGATTATATTTTTATTATTATAATTTTTTAATTGTTGTGGCTTTTTTGTGTGTTTTTTTCTAAATTCCTTCACCTTTTTCACCCAGCCCCACAATTCCTCCTTCCCTCTGACAGCTGTCAATCTGTTCTCTGTATCTATGTGCCTGTTTCCATTTTGTTACTTTATTTTGTTCCTTAGAGTCCACATATGCGTGAAACCATATGTTACTTGTCTTTCTCTGACTAGCTTATTTCACTTAGCATAATACTCTCTGGGTCCATCCATGCTGTCTCAAAAGGTAAGATTTCCTTGTTTTTTATAGCTGCATAGTATTCCATTGTGTAACTGTACCACAGCTTTTCGTATGGACCCTTGGGCTGCTTCCACATCTTGACTATTGTAAATAATACTGTAATGAACATAGGGTGCACATATTCTTTTGAATTAGTGCTTTAGGTTTCTTCATATATATTCCCAGAAGTGGAATTGCTGGGTCATAAGGCAGTTCCATTTTTAATTTTTTGAGGAAACTTTATACTGCTTTCCACAGTGGCTCCACCAGTCTGCATTCTCACCAGCAGTGCACAAGGATTCCCTTTTCTTCACATCCTCGCCAGCACTTGTTCTTTGTAGCAACTGCTTATAATTAACTGGAGACCTGGTGCACGGATTTGTGCACTGGTGGGGTCCCTCGGCATGGCCTGCAGGTATCGGGCCAAAACTGGCAGTCCAACACTGCCTGCCGCTCCTGCCTTCTGCTCCTGCTCATCCCGGCCCCACTGCACCTGCCATGGGCTCGCACCCAGTCAGTCCCTATTGGGAGAGGCTCGTGCCACCACAGCGGCACTTGCCAGCCATGAGCCCTGCATCTGGCACCCGTGGGTTAGCTGAGCAGTGCTCCCACTGTGGGAGTGCACTGACCACCAGGGGGCAGCACCTGCGTTGAACGTCTGCCCCCTGGTGGTCAGTGCGCGTCATAGCGACCGGTCAATTGGTCGTTCCAGTTGTTCAGTCATTCTGTCACTTAGGCTTTTATATATATAGATGTGTCTAGAGCTGGCCAGTGGCTTGCTTTTGGCTCCTGAAACCACTTAGTGAGTCCAGCCACTCCTGAGCTGGAGAGAGTTGTTTATTTACAGGCCCACAATGATTCCTAATGAACCCCAGCTGCATATATCTTTTTCTACCAAATCTTTATTGAGGGTCCACTGAGCCATGGAGACTTGAAAAAAGTTTGGGAACCAAGTAGGGATTGAGGTCAGGGAATGGATAACACAAAAGGAATCCATAATTTGGGCAGACAAAGCCCTCCACTGCCCACCTCCCTCTAGCCTCTCATTTGTTGTTCCCCTTCATCCACCTAAATTTTGGCCAATGTCAGCCCCTTTTACAGGGTCACCTCTCACTGTCTCTAAATTGTCCCCTTTTCCAGAGCGCGCAGTTCTAGTCCCAGCTCAAATGCGACTTCCTAAACCAGGGGTGGCAGGCATGCTGCTGTGTGGCTACTGTCCCCTTCTGAACCCTGAGCAGCCCTTCACAATTGGTCCTGGAGTCTTTCTGACTGAGCCTGGTACCAACAACCCATATCTTGGTAGCCACAAGCAATCATAGGAATTACCATGACCTTTGCCACACCTGATCTTTCCCATCTCCCAAGGTGGCTTGGTCACTGTATGTTAAGTGTTTATAAGTGCATTCATTCATTCATTCATTCATCCAGTCATGAATAACTAGAGAAACAGAAATCAGAGCTCTCTGTTTGTTCCCCAACTCACTCTCAGCTTTCCACTTCCT